ACGAACAACATTGCAGCTTTCGGGCCGTGCACCTTCTCACACTGGCCGGTGGGGCTGCATCTCGGGGGCTTTAGCGAACTCGAGTGTGCTTGCACTGCGAGTATGACGAGGCCCTGCATTTTGTGTCATCAGAAGTTTTGCATCTTTTTGCTTAGCAAAACATGAGTAATCAAATTTTGGTAAAATCATGATAAATTTTTAATTACTCATAGAAATTTTTGCAATCTCTAAACTGGTTTATCGATGAAAGTGTTAGCTACATTTCATTAAAACATATTCTCAAATAACTGGTTTCTGGTTGGACATTTAAAATAAAAAATAATTATTTATATTATAAACGACGTCACACTTTTACATAAATTATATTGTTAATTAATTGCAAAATATTTGTACCGAAAAAAAAAAAAAAATTAATTGCAAAATATGAGTGTTTCACTATCAGATGTACCAATTCTTGCTAACTATTATCCAATTATTCATCGAGCTCAAATAGGTGAAACATTTTTTTTTTTTTTTTTCATAGGAAAGGTGACACCTACTAGTGTACCATGACATGTCAACATTAATGATGGAGCATATTTAATAGTATTATTGAAGGGTAAAGTGGGGCTTGTGATGGAATTGCATCTAGCTAAAATGTGCACATTTTCGAAGGTTCATTTCTAGAGAATACTATTCTTATCGCGTTTTTTTTTATTGGGAAATGCTACGATCCTGTTACGGTACCATCCCTTTATTGAATACACATGTAGTTAGTATAAGTCAGATAATCCAACGGTTAAAACACTATACGAGATGGTACCGTAATAGGACCATACCATTTCCTATTTTTATTATTGCATCCTATGTTTGTTCCATAAAAACAAAGGGTAAATCCTTAATCTTAGGTAAATATCAGCCTATCGATGTGAGAAGGATTTCGTTCTGTTAGATCAATACACACACTCTCACATATGTGTGCGTGTATGTTTCATTCGGCCACTTGAATTATGTTCGGTCTATTAGATAAATAGTTAGTATAAGACAGATGATCCAACGGCTAAAACACTCTACGATATGGTACCGTAATGGAACTATACCATTTCCTACTTTTATTATTGCATCCTATGTTTGTTCCATAAAAACAAAGGGTAAATCCGTAATCTTAGGTAATGATCAGCCTATCAATATGAGAAGGATTTCGGTCTATTAGATCAATACACACACTCTCACATATGTGTGCGTGTGTTTCATTCGGCCACTTGAATTATGTTCGGTCTATTAGATAAATACACACACACACACTCACGTATATGTGTGTGTACGTTTCATCTGCCCACTCGAATTATGGCACTGGTTGAATTCTCCTAATCTTCGAATAATTAAAAAAAAAATGGAAAATGAAATATAAAAACACAAATACATATAGATTAAAATGTCCAATTAGATGTTGGTTATCACAAAAAATTAATCAAAAAATTCACAAAATTGGAATAAATGTTTATTAGCAAATCAATATATATGGATAAAATAGAATCAAAATATAACACGAGTTACGTGGTATATAGGGAACTAAAAAAATGTGGCTAACAAGTGGTGCTACGCTATTGGTCGAGGCATGAGGTCCTATTATAGCACATCAAATAAAACGGGAGACAAAAACAGTTAATGAAGGGAGCAAAAAATAAATAATTAAATAAATAAATAAAATATTTTCAACGGATCGAGAAAATGAAGTTTGATTTTATCTGTGTGTGTGTGACACACAAGCACTCTAATTTAAATTAAAATAAAATAAGATTATTAGTATATGTTCCATGAAAAAAAAAAAATCTTATTATTGCTAAATACGATGCATCTGTTTTAATACTTGGGACCTACATTGTATCTAGCCTCGAATTTTTTAATTTTTTATTTTTACCATAAAGTCAAAAATTTATTAGACTACTAAATTAATAAAGTAACACTTCCTCTAAAAATTTTAGAAGATACTACAGTCCCGTTACGGAATGATTTCGTCAGAGTTTGTAACCCTTAAATCAACTATCCCCGACGGTTACACATGATCTAAGAGTTACAAACTCCGACAGAATGATTCGGTAATGGGACCATAATATTTCCTCTAATTTTTACCTATTGATCCCACAAGTTAGTAGTCTTGATTCTTAATAGCAATTTAATAGGTTTTTTTTTTTTCAACTCTATTCACCTATTAAATATAATTATTATTGAATATGCATCTAACTACATACTCGTACTATAAAATTATTATTTATGTTTATTTAAAAATATGATATTTCAATTTAGAATTATGAATATATACTAAATTTTTTTTTAAAAAAAATACTGACAAATATTAGATCAGCCTAACAAAACAAAAGTCTCACACTATTATTTAAACTGTTTTATTGATTCTCAATTCAGTCAAACGTTAATCATATTTAAATCAATTAACATATATTTTTAGCTGATTAGGATGTCATAAATGCTTCCAACAGTTTCGGTTGTCGACATGTTACGAAAGATGCCAAAACAATTATTATTATCCAACATAGATAAAATAAAAAAAAGGCTGGAAAAGGACAAAATAAAATAAAAATTATTATTAAAAAAAAATATAAACATCGGAACTAGCAAAATCAATATAATTATTTTTTATTTATTTTTTTTAAAAATTTAAGCCAAACCGACTTGCTGAAAATTTATTGAAAACTGTAACAGAAAAGGGGAAGAAAATATTTAAAAAATATAAAATAAAATAAAAATTTAATTAGCTCATCACATAGTATCATGCAAGTGGGTCATAATTGTTTACACAAATATTTTTCTATTGTATTTAATTTCACACGTTATGTACGTACGCTTGCAAGATTCACGAGGAAAATAAAACCAAAAATTGAATTTTTATCACTAAAATGCACCGAAAGAGGAAAATAGAAATATTGATATTTATATTAAAGATAAGATGTTGATTGGAACTAGGAAAATATTGGTAGCTACATGCAAATTGTCAAAGTTTAGTGATTGCTTATACTATCAAATGTCATACTTCTGCTTATATCGGTTTTAAAGTATGATTTAAAAAAAAAAGTATAACGGCCTAATAGCTAAGACCTAATAGAAGATCTACCGTTTTTCCAATTGATTGATGGGATTTTTTTAATATAATTATGTTTAATTTTACTAGTTAGTGAACACTTATCACTTGCAAACACTATTTAAATTTATCATCGTCTAACTAGAATTATTATTAAATCTATTTTTCCTGTCGGGTTTCTGTCATATTACTAATTAAACGGATAAGATGCAGACATCGCCATATCAAAACTCCACATACAAAGACATAACTTCCAATTTCTAAATCGAAAGTTCTATTTTAGTATATGCAAACTGCAGTAGAATCAAATCTCGATTCTACTGCAGTCACTTAATTTTTCACCATGAGATCAATATACATATACTCACGTGAGTCCTATGTATTGAAATCTACCAACAAACAACCTAACACAATGTGATTACCAAATATACCAAATAAAGGAAAAGCGATAAGGGTGAATTTTTTTTTACCAGGAACTCAATGACAGCGCTGGCGAGGTAAATTTGATAGGTGGTGAAAAAGGCATCCGACAAGAAACCACCCAAAAGCGCCAGTAAAAACGCTGTCCCCATGAAATTTGTCACGGAATTTGCAGACTCCGACGGCGTGAAATGCATGTACTCCGAAAAGTACAACACAAGGTTGCTTGCATTCGCCAAGTATGCCAGATTCTCCAGAATCTCCACAACTATCAATCAAATTATTATTATTTTTTTTTCAAATTAATTACATAAAAACATTATATATAACAAAAAAAATAAAATTTGATTTGTAAAATTTAATTGAACAGTTGAATTATTAATTATTTTGGTTTCTATTTTGTTCAATTTAACTGACCAAAAGTGGCAATCAATATAAGTTCAAAAAAATAAAAAATAAAGTAAAGTTACATTTTGTTGGTTGGGGGGTCATGAGATTTTTCCCCTTTTTTTTTTTGTTTTTTCACACTATTTGTGTGTGTGTGTGTGTGTGTGTGTGGATATATGAGAGAGATAGAGAGAGAGAGAGAGAGAGAGAGGGAGAGAGAGATTGGGTTAATTTTGTACCAAGAACAAAAGAGGCAGCAAACATGCCACCATGTTTGGCCCTTAGAGCAGCTCTTCCCCTCCAATCCACATAGCCATCCCAAGTGTTGCTCAATTGGTTCTCAACTTCCTTTTTCATCATTCAAATTAGAACAAAACAAATCATTTTTTTTTTTAAGTTTATCCAAACAGGGCACAACTTGAATTTTATTAATTAGCATAGAAAATATTAGTTGAGTACATAAGGAAACAAGAAATATCAATAAATAAGTAAAAA